TTTCACCGACTGGATGGATGTCCGCCACCTTTGGCTGCAAAGGATGTAGTCAATCTGATTTCGGTGCTGACCATCTGGTGAGGTCCATGTATAAAGCCGTCTTTTAGGTTGTTGGAAGAGAGTGTTTGTTATACACAGCGAGTTTTCCTGGTAAAATTCTATCAGCCTGCGTCCCGCTTCATTTTGTTCTCCCAGACCATGCTTGCCTGTGATCCCAGTTGTCATTTGACTTCCCACCTTGGCATTCCAGTCTCCTGTAATGAAAATAATGTCTCTTTTTGTGTATTATCCAGTAGGTCCTGCAGATCCTCATAGAACTGATCTACTTCTGCTTCTTCAGCAGCTGTGGTTGGGGCGTATATTTGGATCACTGATGTTGAAAGGCTTTCCTTGCACTCGAATTGAGATCATTCTGTCATTTTTTGGGTTGTATCCAAGCACTGCTTTAGCGAATTTCTTATTAATTATGAAGGCTACTCCATTTCTTCGGTGTTCCTCTTGTCCACAGTAGTAGATCTGGTGGTCATCTGATGTGAAGTGGCCCATTCCAGTCCATTTCAGTTCGCTGACCCCCAGAATGTCTATCTTTAGTCTTGACATCTCACCAATAACAACATCCAATTTGCCCTGGCTCATAGATCTTACATTCCAGGTTCCTATGGTGTGTTGATCTTTAGAGCATCGGATTCGTCGTTCACCTCCAGTACCGTCGGCCGCTAGCCTTCCTTTCGGCTTTGAGCTAGCTGTGTCATCACATCTGGGGCTAATTGAACTTATCCTCTGCTCCTCCCCAGTAGCATTTTGGCCATCTTCCGACCTGGGAGTCCCATCTTCCAATGGCATACCGACATATCTCTGGTTGTACTGGTCCATTTAGTTTTCTTGGCAAGGATACTGGAGTGGTTTGCCGTTGCCTTCCCCAGGGATCACGCTTGGTCTGACCTCTCTGCCACGACCGTCCCGTCTTGGGTGGCCCTTCACGGTTTCGCTCATGACATCATTGAGGTGCTCAAGCTCCAGCGCCACAACAAGGCGGCGACCCTTTGCTGGAGTGTAGTATAGTGTAGTAAGGGAACCAATTATAGTGTAGTAAGGCAGACTAGGACACGGAACAATGGCTTCAAACTACAAGAGAGGAGATGCAGTGGAACTCTCTGCCCCCCCTCCCCCCCGGAGTGTGGTGGAGGCTCCTTCTTCGGAAGCCTTTAAACAGAGGCTGGATGGCCATCTGTCAAGGGTGATTTGAATGCAACATTCCTGCTTCTTGGCAGGGGGTTGGACTGGATGGCCCATGAGGTCTCTTCCAACTCTTTCTATGATTCTATGATTCTATGATTCTATGAATTCCTATGATTCTGTAGGATTGAGCCATGGCAGCTAGAGAAGTATCAAGCAGCATTAATTCTACAGTGCAGATTCACCCCTGGATTTACTGATCAACTAATCTGTATTCAACTAATTGAAAACTGGTCAACTAATCTGTCACTGGTTTTGAAGATGGTGTCAGGAAGAACAATTTGGCTTCCTGTACCATGGTCTGTTTTTCCAGGAAAACAGCCTACTGGGACGGGATGGGTTGCGCCTCACAAAAGTATAGGAAGGAATGCCTTTGCTCAGAAACTGGCAATCCTGATCAGGTGGGCCTTAAACTAAGTTGTGTGGGGGAGGATGACATTATCCTTGGGAACAATTGTTTATCAAGGCCTGGAATGAACAACCAAAAGGCTAAAAAGAGAGTTTGACAAACACAAGTATCAAGCGGCAAGAGGACAATAATCTCAAATGGCTAAGGGGAATGCCCCACAGTCTTAGATGTCTTTACACTAATGCCCAGAGCATGGAAAATAAAACAAGATGAGCTGGAACTCCTAGTATAACAAAACAGTTATGATGTCATAGGCATAACTGAAACCTGAAACCTGATCAAGTCCTATAATTGGAATGTAGCAATTGAGGGGTATAACCTATTTCAGAGAAATAGACCAAACAGGAGAGGGGTTGGAGTAGCATTGTATGTTAAAAATATTTACACATGTGAAGAGATGCATGACTTCAATCCTAGAACCCAGGTTGAGAGCTTCTGGATAAGAATTAAGGACTGAAAAAGATGTAGTTTTGGTGGTCTACGATAGACCTCCAAGCCAGATGGAAGAACTGAATAAAGTCTTCCTTGACCAGATGACCAGACATGAGGAAAGAAGAGTTATAGTAGTAACGAGGACAGGAATACTAAAAGAGAAGGGGGAATGGTGGGTGGGAGTTTCATAAAAGTGGGATACTGATGGCACAACTGCAGCCAGTTCCCAAAAGGAGAAAAATAAGAGAAGGGTAAAGAAACCAAAATGGATGTCCAAAGAAGTTTTCGCTGAGCTAAGATTTAAAGGAGACATGGACAATAAATAGAAAAGGAGGGAAATTGCTAAAGAGGAATTCAAACAAATAACCAACATATGCAGAGAAAAGGTTTGTAAGGCTAAAACACAAAATGAGATAAAGCTTTCCAGAGAAATTAAAAACAATAAAAGAGGTTTATTTGGTTATGTCAGTAGAAAAAAGAAGAAAAAAGAAATTATGGGACCTCTGCATGGAGAAGATGATGGAATGCTTACCGGATAGGGAAAAAGCAGAACTACTCAACACTTTCTTTGCCTCGGTCTTCTCCCAAAAGAATATTGATATTCAATCTGAGCAATACAGAACGGACAAAGTAATAGAGGAAATGCAACACAAAATAGGTAAAGAAGTAGTCCTGGAATACCTGGCCATTGTAAACAAATTCAGGTATCCAGAGCCAGATGAACTACATCCAAGAGTATTAAAGGAACTAACAGGAGACATTTTAGAACTACTGGCAATAATATTTGAGAATTCTTGGAGAACAGGAGAATCCCAGCAGACTGGAAGAAGGCAAATGTTGACCCTATCTTCAAGAAGTGAAAAAAGGAGCACCCAAACAATTATCTTCTAATTAGCCTAACATCAATACCAGGGCAGAGTCTGGAAAAAACAATTAAGGAAGCAGTCTGCAATCACATAGAAATGAATGCTGTGATCAGTAAAAGTCAACATGGGTTCCTGAAAAACAAGTCATGCCAGACTAAACTTTTCTCTCTTTTTTAAATAGAGTTACAAGCTTGGTAGATGCAGGGAAGGCTGTGAAGGTAACATATCTCGATTTCAGTAAGGCCTTCGACAAGGTCCCCCATGATCTCCTTGCAAACAAACTTGCAAACAAACTTCGACAATACATTAAACTAGGCAATGCTACTGTTAGGTGAGTCTGTAATTGGATAAGTGACTTAATCCAAAGAGTGCTTGCCAATGGTTCCTCTTCCTCTTGGAAAGAAGTGAATAGTGTCATAGGGTTCTGTCTTGCCACCTTTTAACATAAGACATTTTTGCCCTGTTTTGCAGACCCCATTTTATGCAAAGCAAGAACAGGGCCTACAGTGCGTCATTACACAACACACTGCAGGCCCCACCCATGTTCCTCCCAAAGAGGAGGGGAAGCGCTGGAAATATCCCTGGTGTAGAGCTTTTGCTAATAATAATACAACACCGATGATGCAGTTATAGTAATAAGATCACAATTGTCAAGTGCAGAACTTTATTCTTCCTAAAGCACAAATAGCTGCCTAGCAAAATGGCCGTTTTGCACAGCAAGAGTCATAAAGCTCAATCATAGTATACTATCATCACAGACATTTCAGTAGATAATTAAGAAGATTGTTTTTCAACCAGCCAGCCAATCACGGCCCATTTGATTCCATAGGCATTTCAACCAGCCAGCTAATCATGGCCCATTTAACTCCATAGGCACAGAGCAGTAAAGCTATATATTTCTCTTTCTTTTTGAAACTGCTGCCCTAGAAAAGATGGATAGAAGGAAAGAGAGAAAATAAGGGGGAGGGCATGGGCATGGGCATGGGCATGGGAATCTAGTAATCATAAATAATGGGTTTTGGCATGTGCCTGCTTAAGGCTATACCTAAACTGAAGAACTATAGCAGTTTCTTAAATGAAAAAGTTAATGAGATGAATGTACAGGTGTGTGTGTGTGTGTGTGTGTGTGTGTGTGTGTGCATGAATCTCAAGAGGGTGCCGTTAGGCTGGTGGGCGGGTGTCTGATGGGTAAAGCAATCCCATGCATAATACCTAATTTCTGCAATGATCCACCCAAGTCAGCTGGTGGGTGGATTATGATTTGGGTGCTTTTTTCTGTCTGCTTCGAGACAATTGGTCTTGTATCAATACTGTGAAATTGGGCTCTTAAAAGAACAATCTGCAGATATTGCCTTCCACCTGACAGCACACAAACTTCTTAAAACTTTAGAAATTCTGGGTTCAGAGATGTAACTGGGTAATTATGTAGGCATTTTGCCTTAACGTCTTTGGAGGGAAAGGGTTGAAAATGTATGAAAACATTCACCCACCAATTCAAAGACCTTCTGAACTCTCTGCAGTAGAGCTCAGGCTGTCCACTTCAGTGCAGCATTGGATCCACACCCAATTTTATTCTGAATTTTTATTCTGAGCTACCCAAGGGGGTGAACCTATTTAGTGGGTAGGGTTAAACCCTTGGACACTCTTTCATCCAAAGCCAACAGCAACTTGGCTAAAACAGGAGCTACCTGACAGTGTGGTTCAAATAGCGGTGCAAGGCTGGATCTAAGACCACCTTCATGGGAACGTTAGCTGGGAATGTTGGAGAAGGCCTTCTCTGAGGTTGCTCCTCCAAGGCTGGTTTCCTTCTCCCTGTCATTATGTTGTCAGGTGAGGATCTTTCTAGTCCAGGAGCTGTCTCAGAACTGATCGTTTCATAGGAATGTGTTTTCTGTTTTAGTGCTCAACTACTTGTTTACTGCTTCCATGGAGATTAGGACAAGGAACAATGGCTTCAAACTACAAGAAAGGAGATTTCATCTGAACATGAGGAAGAACTTCCTGACTGTGAGAGCCGTTCAGCAGTAGAACTCTCTGCCCTGGAGTTCAGAGAGGCTCCTTCTTTGGAAGCTTTTAAACAGAGGCTGGATGGCCATCTGTCGGGGGTGCTTTGAATGCAATATTCCTGCTTCTTGTCAGGGGGTTGGACTGGATGGCCCATGAGGTCTCTTCCAACTCTTTGATTCTATGATTCTGTACTTAATTTTCTAGGCCCTCCAGTGAGACTTTATTATAACTTCAAGAAGAAGTAATTTATTTCAACAGAGATCAATATTTCTATTTCTACAGTATGTTCAATGGATATGGGAGACCATGATAATGATAATGATGATGACAGAGAATGCCTTTAGCTCCTAGTAAAGCCAATGAGATTTAAACCAATGAATTTCCCCTATGTGTCAACTCACTATTCATGAATTGATTCAGTAGTGATCCATTAGTTGAGCAAAGTGATTCAGATTAGTGTGGGGTGGAATACTATGGGATTGATGCCTTGACTTGTCCCCATCCTGTTGAGTTAATAATGGGCCTATGTTCAACTATCTTCATTTGAATGTGTCTATCTCATTGACATTAATGGTGCCAGGCTGGGGGCGAAGGGTGTATCCTACTATGGGGTCATGAAATGGATTGGAAATAACTCATCATTATAACATACTTGTTACATCTTCATCAGCAGCTTTCCACCCATCTAACAAAATTCTCTCTCTGCCCTCCCCCACGACACCCCCCCCCCAAGTTATTCTCAAAACAAGGGCTAAGAAAATGCAGCTTTGACTCAAAAGCCCTTGCTGTATGCTTCATGTGAACAGCAAGTATTTAAACTTGTGGTGCAGTCCATAATTTCCAAAGCCCCACTATAGGAGACAAAACCTACAAAACATAGAAACACGGCAGCTTATAGTCATACAGTGGATAGGAAGCATTCCAACATCCAGCAGATCAACACATGAAAAAATACACAATCTCATGAAACCGCTTACAAGAAATACTTCCATCAGGAATTCTGTACAATCAGCAGTAAGAAGGCGGAGGCACGGTTCCTTCTTTCTGTTTGGATCCAGTTCTGCAGGATCATTGTTCTAATAGTTGAGTCCAGTTTCTCATTTTTTTCTGTTTTTAAAATCCTTTTTTTCTTTTGTTCTTGCAGGCACAGAAAGGAAATATTCAATTTTTTTTCAGGCACACTAAAGTCTGAGCTGTATATTACACACCAATACATTTAACAAGGCTCCAATGGCCTCCTTTTTGAATGAAAAGTAGCAATGGCAAACACTGGGTTTGAACAGAGAAGCAGAGAAGCGAAAGGGGTCTGCTTCGTCCTTTCTCCGGCCGCTGCTTTCCCTTTTGAACTTCCTCTGGCTCTGATTCTCCTGAAGAGTTTTAGAGGCACATGGTTTTACCATGCAAAAGAATTGCTAGGTCTGCTTAGGAGAAACAAGGCTGGGTTTCAGCAGGATTGGAGCAGGTCATTCAAAGCAGAAAAGTGTATTTTGGTGGAGAGCGGTTAAGCAGATAGAGTGGCAGTTGCTGAGGTTGGAATGTAAGTGGTCAACCTCTGAACAATGTGAAGTAATGGTAGTACCTCTGTGCCTTTATCAGTCAAGGATATGTTGGGTATAGTCATGGTATGAGCCCTTTTTATAACACGCAACATAGGTGCTTTCTTGGGAATGGCAACACCAACCCACTCTTATGTGAGGGATACAGTTGGCCAACAGCTTGTCCTCATGGAACTCCCCACCAGTTAGGCTCCTTTATTGGTAGAAGTCCATCATGAACCATTTAAGATTCTAAGAAAAAACCCAAAAGGGATTTAGCTGACCCTACTAGAGATTTCTCTGAGACCCCATTAATTCATATATTAATAAGGCAGAGCTTGGGGGAAAAGGCATCCCCAGCAATTCCCCAGCAAACATAGCCACTGTCTGCATTTTCAAAGCTCTGCTGACAGGGCCATATGGAGGGAGAAATTACATATGTATAGAGTGTTGGTAACTGCATTGATCAGTAAGGCAGGTTTCATCCTGTGCCTTTTGGGCGAAAGCAAACTGCCTTCCTTTCCATTTCTATTGCAGTGCCATTAAAACGAAGTTACAAAGTGTATTCTTTTATACAAGGAGGCTGGCATTTTAGCGACATTGAACCCCTATAGACTGGAACAGTCTATGTACATATCAAATGTTGGAGTTCGGCCGCAGGGGAAAGTCACCACCAAGGATGGAATTTGGCATGATTTAACCAGCCAATTCTTCCGCAAGTCAACTCAGCAGTTTTAGACTTCCCACCTCCTGTTGTTATGGATTTGAAACACCCTTGCAGATATGCAATGGACACTGGAATTACCTTAACTGACAAAATGCCCAGAATTCACAATGCAACAGGAGAGGGCAATAGGACTTAAATATACAGTATATAATATATATGTGTGCACACCTCCCTCTTTAGATGCTCTGTAATGCTTGGATCCAACAACCGCCACTCTTTTGTAAAGGGAATCCAGAAGTGGGCAGGGATTTCATCTTTTTATTATTATTATTACTTTTTAAACCTGCTGTTTAAGTCATTTCTTGAACTGACTTTTCACATGCTTGAATTTTGCCCCTTGTCCATGCTTGCCTGTGGCTACAATAGTTGCTGTGTTGCATTATCAAGGGTAAAAATTCCCTTTCAGATGTGCATTGATCAAGATGGTACACATTTCTCATCATTATCTCTGTGTGTGGCAGCTAGCTTTAGAGTATTCTTAGTTAAAATGAAGAAATTGGTATAATTGGAAATATGTATCAGATTTCCACAAGTCTGCTTCTTCACCATAGGTCTCGATTCCATTCTGCTGCACCTATGCAGCAAAGGTTCAAAGGATTAAAACCAAGCATGAAGACATCCTTCTATGCTCCCATTATTCAGAAACTGAAATGCACAGAACTGATTGGCTCATCCTTTCATTGTCAATAATTTAAGGAATTGTCTGTTACTCTCTTCGTGCCATTCTGGACTTCAGCTCCCACAAAACTCAAAGCCGGAACCCATTGAAAGTCTCATTGCAAAGCATTCTCAGAATAAAATTGTCTGATGAGCCATTGAAGCAATTCAAGTTGCAGAAGCAAAGAATGCTTTCTCTCTCTGTCTTTCACTTCCCAACTGCTGTGGCAGCAACAAAGAAACCCACAATAGCCAGGATGCGCATTAAACCTCTTTCATTCCATAATCCTTTGTATTTATGTGGCGTGCTCAAAGCCAACATGATCTGTGGCCTTGTGGAATCCAAGAGTCAATTGAAAATGCGGCCCTTAAAGAGAAAGAAGTATTACATTCTCATGTTCAAAATGCCTCACTTCTTTATTACCTGGAGGGAGGAATGCTCCAACATGTTCCTTCTCCCAGCTCACTGTGAGTTTCTAGCCCTGAATCAAAAATAATTGTTCTTTAAAGGGCTGTTATCTGAGTTAGCTCCGACGTCGGCGTCGTTGGGCTCTGTTGGCTGACCGGCACCATCGGAATTTCCACGCCTAGTCATGCCGGATTGTTAGTCCCGTCTGAATTCTTGCAAGCATAAGCCACATCCTTGGCAATGCTGCACATCCGGTTGGACATCTGGAGCTCTTTCCTAAAGGCAGATGGGAAGCAGAACTTTTTGAAGCAGGTCTTAAAGTTCTCATCTAAGAAAGCATAAAGGACTGGGTTCAGGCAGCTGTTGGTGTAACCCAGGGCAGTGCAGAAGTACAAGATGGCTAACTTGACCTCATTGTCTGCCTTGGCTCCCAGGCACCGGACGAGGACAAAGATGTGGACGGGGGTCCAGCAAATGACAAAGACGGCCACCACCACCAGGACCAAGCGAGCAATGCGCCGGAGATTTCGGTCCTTCTCCTTGGATCCGGAAAGAACACGGACATTCTTCAGGCGCCTGATCATGAGACTGTAGCAAATCGTGATGACCATGACAGGGATCATAAAGGAGAAGAGAAAAATGCAGATTCCAAAGATGGGATCCCAATATTCCACCGGTTCAGGGAGTCTGATCAGGCAGTCAATCTCTGCAAAGACAAGAAAGAATGGAAGGGTTTGGTCTCAAAAAAAAGGAACCATTTAATCTTCAGCAATATACCTCCAACTCCAGGCATTTGCATATCACTATCTCATTTTAAGAGATGATGATAATAATAATAATAATAATAATAATAATAATAATAATAATAATTTTTATTTATTACCTCATCACCATCTCCCCAATGGGGACTCAAAGCAGCTTATTTTTTTTTTTATTTCACAGTTTTCTATACCGAGCTTCTCAACCTCATTGAGGGACTCAGCCCGGTTTCCAGCCATAAAAAACATATACACTCATTAAAATATCATATATCACAATTACAAAAACAACTTTAAAAACACTATATATAAAACTACAGTGGTCAGTCGTCCTATTAAGATGGATCTACATCAACTTCCATCCAGGGTCCTATGGTGTTGTCTCATTCATTGAAGTCCTGACTCCACAGCCACATCTTACATGAGGCCAAGCCCAAATGACAATTACAATAAAGAAAAACCAAAAACACAAACCGAAAATGCAAACAATAAACAATAACACCATAGTTACATAAAACATATAAATACATAACAATATAAAAAATAAAAAATATGCACAGGCACAATAATAATGGGCGGGCTACATGTAGTGATTAAAAGGACAAACTGATTAAAACTAATTAAAAACTCGGGTGAGATAAAAGAGGGAAACAGGTAATTTACAGAGGAGGGATCATTTTAGCAGGAGTTGTGGAATCAAGCTTTGGGGTTCAAAAATATCAAGATATATTTTTGAACCCAAAAGGAAGACTTGGAGGCTCCCTGCACATTTATTCAGTTATTTTAGAGACCATTTTATAGGTGTCAGAGGAGGAAATATAAGTATTTTAGTGGGTTGAATCCTATTATTTAGTCCCACTTTGAGTTGACCCACTAAATAAATTGTTGAGCGGTGAGTCAACACTTAAGCAAATCACATTTGGAGGCTCTTGAAACTAGAAAACATTGAGTCATGTTTATTGTATATACCCATGTATAAGTCTAGAAAGTTTAATTAAAAATTCACCCCAAACAAGTAGGATTACTTATCCATAGGGCAATCAATATCAGTAATGTCTCCATAAGTCATACCAAAATCAATAAGCTTGGCTCCCAAATCTGCCTGCAACTTATTCATGATGTGAATTTATACCTGAGTTTAAATGGTAGTTACATATGCATGAATATGTAATGTCTCCTGACCCAACATCCTCAAATGTATTTTACCCGGCAGCAGTCTCACTGAGGAATGGAAGTGTGGTAACTGGGACACAGGAGGAGGTGTTTCCATCACAAAGAAATAGGACACTTTTGCAAATTTTTGTCACAGCCTTGCTTACTGCACATCTTCTTCTGCTCAGTGTGGTTGCTGCCTGGTAGAATATATTTGGGGCAGTTGGACCAGAAAACAGATACATAACTAGATTATGCATGCACATACATAAGTAGGTGATATAGTAAATGAAGTGCAGAGAACAGCATTTTTAACATAGAAAAAGCATGTTTTGCAAACAAAATAATTTATACACTTAGCAGAAAATAGGTCTGACTGAACTCAGTGGGACTTATGTCCAAGAAGACACAGTGGGCTTGCTTTGTTGGATTTTTTAATTTTTATTTTACTGATGAGCTTCACAAGTTCTAAGCCACAGCAAAATTTGGGGAAATCTTTCTGTCTTTAGAACAGAGCTCTCTAAATCCCCTGCTAGCATGGCCAATGGGAGTCCCTTGTGCCGGAAGGGCTACTGACCAACAGGTAGCAGTTTGAATCCAGGGAGAGTGGGTTGAGCTCCCTTTGTCAGCTCTAGCTCCCCGTGTGTGGACATGAGAGAAGCCTCCCACAAGGATGGTAAAACATCTAATATCCGGGTGTCCCCTGGGCAGGGGCGGCTCAACCCATTATGCAAAGTAAGCATTTGCAGTATAGTTGATTTTGCCCAGGGGCGCTCTTGGGGCGCTCTTGGAGGAAAATAGACCTTGACATATGCGAGTTGTAGTTACTGGGATGTATAGTTCACCTACAATCAAAGAGCATTCTGAACTCCACCAATGATGGAATTGAACCAAATATGGCACACAGAACTCCCACAACGAACAGAAAATATATATCAGTGATTGGTTGGGGGCGCACCAAAATTCTGTTTGCTTACCATTTAAAATTACCTAGGGCCGCCTCTGCCCTTGGGCAATGTCCTTGCAGACAGACAATTCTCTCACATCAGAAGCGACTTGCAATTTCTCAAGTCACTCCTGACATGGGGAAAAAATGACAAATGGGATGTGCAAGGCAATGTCCTTGCAGGCAGACAATTCTCTCACACCAGAAGTGACTTGCAGTTTCTCAATTCACTCCTGACATGGGGGAAAAATGCCAAATGGGATGTGCAATCCTTATGCAATGGCTTTTTCAAGCTGTGCTCCACCTCCCAGCCGCTCATGCAATACTGTATTTCAGCTTTGCAAGTACATTGGCAACAAGTCTTCCTTTTCTCTTTAATTCCTCCCAAATTGTTCTGGGAGCACAAACGATATGTCAAGAATAGCATTCAAGTCCCAACTCAACCCCATGCAAGCTCACGATTAGTCAGAGTTATTTTGCACTTGGGAAGTAATAAAGAAGGAATGCACAAGTCCCTTGAGTCTACAAGCAAGTTCCAAAGACAATTCCAGGGTTGGGTTTTCTTTTCTTTTCGGGTTTTGTGTTTAGCTTTTTTCTCTTCTTGTCATGACAAGCATCAATTGATGCTGTCTAGGCTGGTATTACGCATATGCAGTACTTTGCTAGATATTTTTTCCTGCCTTGCCTGGCAGGGGGATTAATATTTTTCAATGTGCTTAGATTTACATCTCATTTAAGCAGCAAGTATTCCACAAAGGAAAATATTGCCATTGCTTTGAGATAACTGTTCCACAATTCCAGCTATGTGCACACTGCATAGTTATCATTGGACTGGGATAGGCATTGCCAATGGGGCCTTCAGGCCTTAACCCAAAAGACAGGGAAGGCTCCTGTGTTCAAAGGGCTCATTTGCATTTCTTGGTTCTGGATTCCTGCCAGCTTGTGTGCTGTTCCTCATTAGTCACTTTTCCCATCTTTTTTTTTTTTTGCAACATCTGAGAAATATTGGAAGGAATGAGATTTTGCACTAGACAGCATTTATAGTTAATTTTATTGTACTCACCATCATTTTCATTCTCAGTCGATCCCATCACCATCACAGGGATCCCAAAGACCGAGGCCAAGGCCCAAATACAAATGTTGACGAGTTTAGCTTTGTGGGGTGTGCGGATGTCCAAGGCCTTGATGGGGTGGCAGATGGCAATATAGCGGTCCACACTCATCATGGTCAGGGTGAAAGTACTGGTGAACATGTTGTAGTAGTCAATAGAGATGGCAATCTTGCAGAGGGCGTTTCCAAATGGCCAGGAGCCCAGGAAGGTATCGGTGCCTTGGAAAGGTAAGGTCATTAGGCACAAGGTATCAGCCAGAGCCAGGTTAAAGATGTAGATGTTGGTTGCTGTCTTCATTTTGGTGAACCTAGACAGAGCAAAGAAGACACACAACGATGTAATTCAGATTCAGTGTAGCACAAAACTGGAACAGTATTCTCCATCAGTTACTGATGAATAGTTTATTTATTTACCGCATTTGTAATCTGCCTTTCTCCGCCTTGCTGCACCTCAGGACAGCTCACAGAAATAGCAATTTTAGTGCCATACATTCTGCATTGTTTAGTTTTTTTCCAAAAGCACCTTGAGCAATGACACTTCTTCTTCATTCTAGATGTTCAGACAATTTCACATAATGTGAGACCTGATTTGCACCCCCAAAATCACAGAAAATTAAGGGGGGGGGGAATGAAATTTGGGAGATGTATTGTTGAAGGCTTTTGATAGTTGGGTCACTGGGTTGTTGTGAGCTTTCCAGGCTGTATTACCATATTCCAGAAGCAGTCTCTCCTGTTGCTTCACCTTCATCTATGGCAGGGATCCTCAGAGGTTGTGAGATCTGCTGGAAACTAGGAAAATGGAGCTTATATATCTGTGGAATGTCCAGGGTGGGAGAAAGAACTCTTATCTGTTGAGGTAGGTGTGAATGTTTCAAATGGTCACCTTGATTAGCATTTAATGACCTAGAAGTTTCAAGGTCTGGCTTCTTACTGCCTTGGGGAATCCTTTGTTGGGAAGTGATTAGCTGGCCCTGATTGTTTCTTGTCTAGAATTCCCCTGTTTTTGAATGTTGTTCTTTATTTACTGTTATGTTTTAGAGTTTTTTAAATACTGGTAGCCAGATTTTGTTGATTTTCATGGTTTCTTCCTTTCTGCTGAAATTGTCCACATGCTTGTGGGTTTCAGTGGCTTCTCTGTGTAGTCTGACATGGTAGTTGTTGGAGTGGTCCAACATTTCTATGTTCACAGAGTTCTTTCTCTCACCCTGGACATTCCACAGATATATAACCCAATTTTCCAAGCTTCCAACAGACCTCACAATCTCTGTGGATTTCTGTCACAGATACAGGTGAAACATCAGGAGACAATGCTTCTGGGACATGGCCATACAGCACGGAAAACTCACAACAACTCATACATTTGGAAGTAAATGGAAGTCCATGTTAATTTTTATTTCTAAAATAGAAATATTGTTGTTGTGTGCCTTCAAGTCATTTACAAATTATAGTGACTATAAGGCCAACTTATCATGAGGCTTTTTTTTTTTTTGGCAAGTTTTGTTTAGATAAGGTTTGCCATTGCCTTGCCCAGGGATGTCGAGCTGTAGAGCTCTAGTTGGCTCACAAACTTGGATTCTGCCTGGAAATGAGCTGATAAAGTTATTATTTTTAGAGGAAGAATGTGCATGCAGAAATATGTCAATCACAGATCTCAACCCTCCTAGACTAATACCCTAATGTAACACAGGAACAGTAGTATTGGAGACTCCCATTTAAATAGGTAATGAATCTGCCTTATGTTTAAGCATTAAGTGCAAAAGAGCCTTCTGAGGTTCTGAACATATTTTAGGGATTAGTTTTCCCACCTTGGAGATCTCTTTTAAAGTTGCAGACTAAAACCTGGAAGCCACCAGCTCTCAGCACACACAAATGGGCCCCCCTTGCCTTTTCTGCTCTCAGTGTGGCTCTTTTTGCAAGCCAAGGGTGGATTAAAAGAAGATTAAATCAAGCTGTTCCACAGACAAAGGGATGAGAAAAGAGGAAAAGATTTAGAAAGATCAAACGTAAAAATTGAATCATCAACTGCTCCATCTTACTCCAGCTTTTTGTATGATCAAGTACTGGATAAATCTAGAGAGAAAAAAGAGTTATAGAAGATAATTTATTATAAACCCAGTGGCATCTCAAAATCTTTCCATATAAGTACTATGAGTGAAGAGTGTTGTGAAATTCTTGCCCAAGATTGCCATTTACTCACTGATATCATTCCCACCTCCCTTTTCACATCACATCACCTTGTTCCCCTATCCCTGTGTGGTCACTTTGGATTGCTAGATGGAACAAAATCTCACAAGGCTGTGTTGTCACACTTCAAAAGTGAAGTTTCATTCCAAAGTTGGAACAAAGCAGTCTGAACTGGCACAATTGGCTTCAGGGATTTGATGACATTAATTCCATGGTCCTGCCAAACACTATTCCTACCATAGCACTGCCTTTCCATGGTGATGGGATTGTGTGCTCATGCCCAGAAAAAGGCTGTGCCAATGATTATCCCATACCATAAAACCCTATGATGGGATTGTGACAGAACATGACATTCCCAAGTTGGAAAGCAATCAGCAATATACTGGAATACAGCAGAAGGAAACTATGACAAAACTTCTACAATACACTGAGAAAGAAATACCGACATCCAACCAGAAAATATCAAAGATATGGAACAACTATACTAGATACTGAATGATAAAGACATATTTTATTTTATTATTATTTATTTATTTATTTATGGCATTTGTAGCCCAGCTTTCTCAGCCTTATGGCAACTGAAGGTGGCTTACAGAAATTGGCAGAATTTGATGTCATACATTCATAAAGTACAATTAAAAACATTCAACCTTATATTATAAAAACCATATAAACCATTAAAACTATTTAAAACATATCATCACCAGTGTTGTCCTGTTAAAATCATTGTCCAGCAGCATTGTCTAGTCATTATGTGTTCATTCCTCCTATTTCATAATTATTTATTACACTGCATTTCCAAACGCTTGTTCAAAGAGCCAAATTTTTACTCTCTTTCTGAAGGTCTGGAGGGAGGGGGCCAATCTAATATCCCTAGGGAGGGAGTTCCATAGCCAAGGGGCCACCACTGAGAAGGCCCTGTCTCTCCTCCCCACCAGACGTGCTTTCAAGGAAGGCAGGATCAAGAGCAGGGCTTCCCCAGATTATCTTAAATTCCTAGATGGTCCATAAGGAGAGATACGCTCGGACTAGTAAGCTGTACCAGAACCATTTAGGGCTTTGTAGGCTAAAGCCAGCACTTTGATTTGTGCCTGGTAGCAAACTGTCAGCCAGTGGAGTTTGCACAACAGAGGAGTTGAATGCTCCCTGAGTGCGGCTCCTGTTAGTAATCTGGCTGCCGCCCACTGGACCATTTGAAGCTTCCAAACAGTCTTCAAAGGCAACCCCACATAGAGCACATTGCAGTAGTCTATACAGGATGTAACCAGAGCGTGAGTGCTAAAATTATGATTATCTATACCATCATGTAAAAACTGGATAGTAAAGAAAGCTGATTAAGAAGAGAATGGGCTCATTTGAAATATTGTGCTGGAGGAGTATTTTACTGATACCATTGGTTGTTGTGTGTCTTCAGCTGATTTCTGAAGCTGAGAGAGTGTGGCAACTTTTCATGGCCAGTAGTTTTCTGTGGCCAAGCAGGGACTCAAACCATGGTCCAACACTCAAACTACTACACCGCACTGTATTTCAAATAAGCCACAGGAAAAATACCTGCTGGTTTTTTTTTAATTGCAGGCATTATCTTTATTTGTTGTTGATTTTTAAGTATTTACAAGAGTTTAAAACTATCGAAAAATATCTCACTCAAGATAACTGCATAGTTCCTGGGAGCAATAATCTTTCCAGTGTGTAGAGACTGTATTTATTGCAAGCAGTTGTAGATTGCATTTATTCAGTGTTGCCTGCTGTCAGGGCCGCCTTTATCTGATGATGACTCATTCTGCATCTTCTCCCCCCTTTCCCGCTACGTTTTATTATTCGGTGTTGAAAGTTACTGTAATTCCTTTTGGATTTGTATATTTGTATCCTCCCTCTTTTGTTCATTGCATAGGCTTTGTAATATATTGGCAAAACATCAATTACCATTCTTTCCTTGAGAGGTGTGTTTATTTATTGGTAACGTTCTAATTCTTCATATGTTACCAGTAGCATCGATTTTTCTAATTGTGCTCTTCCACATCTACCTGTAGTGAGTTCATTTTGACTGTTTTGTCAGTCCATTTTAGATGACAATGGTGTTGAAGATGATTTCTGTTGTTGATCATCAGTCCTTCTCAATGTCAGCTGGGAAGTAAATCTATGCTGGGTTTTAGTCTGTACTTTGAAGGAACTCACCAAGGTGCTAAATAAAATTTAAGCAGGGGTTCAGAGCATTAGAAAGTGTTCATCCACTCTGTAGAATTGGCCTTCTCTAGTAGATAGTCCTGGTGCCTCGCCAAACTACAATTCCCATGATTTCATGGCATTGAGTCATGAAAGTTCAAACGGTATTAAACTGTTGAAGGCTTTCATGGCCGGAATCACAGGGTTGCTGTAGTTTTTTTGGGCTATATGGGCATGGTCTAGAGGCATTCTCTCCTGACGTTTCACCTGCATCTATGGCAAGCATCCTCAGAGGTACCATATAGCCCAAAAAAACTACAACAACCTGGTGTTAAACTGCCTTAATTCTGCACTGAAACACCTTTTCACCCTGCACCATGCCAGAGTCCAGTAATTCTATCTAAAAATGTTTATTAAAGAAAGTCGATGAAAAGGGGAAAAGGGCAATTCCAAAAGGGTCAGTAGAATAGAAATACAAAATAGTAGTAATCCAAAAATGACATGAAACATAAAGATAAGGAAACCAAAATCCACAGCAGTACTCCAAACATAAATCCATGAACATGAAAACAGGGACTTTTTCTAGGTAACCTCTCCAAGGAAGCAAAAGCCTGAACAAGAACAGGAAACTTGAGAATACTTGAACCATGAGCTTGAGAGCAGAGACAGGAGAACCATCTCCTATAGCAATGTAGTCTCCTCTGAAACAAAATCACTTAATTTAAGCCCTCTAAGGCACCCATGACATTATGCTTGAGATATCTGGACTTCAGGGTCTCATCTCAGACCCGCTGGGAATATCCAATTTGCCTGTTTTTCACTCCCTGCGTTCTCATGTCTAATCTAGCCTCCCTGGAAAACTCCTCATCTGCCCAAGGCCTTTTATCCAGGGAACAGGAGCTTTCACTTTCCCATGTTGCTTGGGAATGAGACAGGAATCCAAAACATTGGCCTCATCTGC